ATTAAGAAAATACAAAGGAAATTAATGTTTAATGAGTGTTTGGAAATCGGATGAAACACTGCTTAGTATTTGCATCCTTCATTTCTCCTTCAAAAATGATTTTGTTTGAGAAGTTCGTCTAAAATACTCCGCTGCGCGTCGTATTTTCAACTCTCTTCTCGGTGTTTCATCTGGTGATGAAACACTGCATCTGATGTTTGATATATTACTTGAACCCGTGACCTCGAGATTACCGGTGCGATGCTCTACCAACTGAGCTATGAAGTCACTTTTCCTGGGTATAGCACCATCACATTTTTTTTTTGGATGATTTATTATGTAACATTTATATTTAGCTACGTTCAATTACATAATTACCTTGAGTTAGGAAAGTAACAAAATATTACAGCTACAGGATTGATCGCGATAACAAATGGCTAATGAGTTCCAATTTTTTGTGTTTATTTCATAGATGTTACAGGTTTTGTACGTTTTACAGCATTGCTTTAAGTTATTTTTTCAATGTAAATTGGATCATTGAACATTCTGGCGTTGCGTCACCGTGATCTTTCAGAATCATTTTTCTTGAAGGGGAAGAGTTCTCTTCCGTTAATTTCAAGTGAAACCGTCCACAGTCACCAATTTGTTTTCGTGAGGTCCTCGAAATCGACTGGTTACAGTTACTGGCGGTCATGTTTAAAATTTACTGAGTCTATCTAGCCCAACCAGTCGGTGCGCTTTGAAGTAAAAACGGCTGCCTGTAACGGTAATCGCTAGTCTAATTTGAATTTTGTATTTGTGTTTTTTTGCCACCCAGATAAATTAAGGTACGGAAAAACGGGCAACAAAAAACGTGCAACTTGTCTTGCAACATTGCTCCAAAACGAGCTGAATAGCGATGTTGCGCCTTTTACCATACCCACATAAAACCTGTTTTGCAACAAATCAGGCTGTTAACAGGTTTGAACGTGACTCAAAAATGTAGAAAATAGTGGCGAGGAGGCGTAAAGGAAACAATATATAGCTTATGTTAATTAGGCCAGCCAAGAGCCGCTCTTGGGCCAACTCAATTACAGTTTTTCAAAGATGAAAAAAAGATATGGCGAATTATACAATTATTATCAATTGAAAAAGTAAAAAATATATTAAGGAAGTTTACAAATGTTGAATATCAATTTCTAATACACTGCAAATTAAAATTTGTCTAACTTGAAAACAATTGGATTTTTCCAGTTTTTGTTGCCTTGAAAATATTGGGATATTAATATAATTATAATTATAATCGTTACCCCCAACAGGCCAGGCCGGTGCATTTTGAATATACTTAAAGATACTTTTGAATACTCTCATTTCACTTGGAGGTAGTTCAAATGAATAAAACTTCCCTCTGTGAGTTTTCCTTCATATCAAGCTGTCAAATTAAAGTTTGACTTGAATTGTTTCAAGGATTATTGAAGTAAGATCATGTGAACATGTGGTTCAACAATGTATCAATACCTTAATTAGCCTGACGTGCCATTAATTGCCCCTGATAAAAACAGTAAAAATAAACAAACTAAACTGCTGCTTTTAAAGTTAGAAATTAAAATCGGTAAATTAAATTTTCTTAAGATGGTAACCTATACCCTGAGAACAAGGTCTTGAAATTCGTCAGTAAAGTGCTGTTGATCCTGCTACCTAAAGAAACACCACTTCATCGTTCGCCTGCGTTTACGCCTTCTTTCCTCGCTTCTCGCCGCTAGGGACGTTATGCAGGAAAGACTACAAACTTCCTTAGCGGCGAGGTGTTTTTATACGGAAAGTTCCTTGACAGAATCAAAAATTAGCGATAAGATATAATTTATGGTGTTGTCATTTTTGCCTTTGTAATTCGACAATCTGAAAAATAAAGTCATTTCGATCCAATTTTCAAAGCCCAATACGTCCAATACTGATACTGCCAACTCAGTATCAAGCCGTTTTTACGGGCAAGTTAATCTTCATCACAGTTATAGCTATCTGTGCACTTTGCTCGTAGAAATGGAATTCTTCCTGGTATTAATGTACGAGTTTATGTAGTCCAATGCTCGGCCTGTAAAATAATATTATTTGCTATTTTGGAGTTAGCTTTGTGTTATCTATATTCTTAGTCATAATAACAAGCAAAGATATTGGAAAATCATCCAACCTAGCTTTACTTCCGTTTGAACGGAGATTGACTGAGCATATGTTTAAAATCGGTTATCAAATACACGGCAGGTATTAAGAAGAGTAAGTCTCGTTTACTGTTCCCTTTTTTTAAATTAAACTCTATTCTTAGCCCAAGCAATTTGTCAATTTAACCAAGTTGTTGAAGTCTTCTGTCGATACCAGTTGCAATGGGTTAAAAAGATGTTTGGGAAGTCTTTAGTTCGAATTCTGTCTGACCTACGTGGTAACGAAGAGTTGCTAAGAAAAGGGAAACGGGGACATCCTCGGATACAGAGACAAAGATTTTTCTGCGCTTACTTCTTAAACAACTGTATTTATACTTGCAGTTTCCTAAGTACGCTGCAAACACAGCCTTGTCGTCTCCCTGCCCGACACTAGTCCGCTAGGGACGTTTCGTGATACGGTACGAAATAAAGGGACACTTTCCTTGTGGAGAGAGGCGAGGAGAGGTGGCTGCATTCACAGGCCACTTCCTGAGCCACCAAAGCCAGAAACTAGGTCTGGTCGCCCGCTGTACTGAAAAAATTGGCCTTATGGCATGATGGATTCGCTTTTAATGCACCTTTTCTTAGGGATAGTACACGCATTGCGTCTTTCTTTTGCATTTTGCATAATCATCATATAAGTTGACATTGTATCTTATACTCACTTTGTGAAATTATAACTCTTATATTGTGAGAAGCAACTCACAAATGAAAAGGAATTTTATAGTCACCTGCAGCCAGGAAAGATATCAAAACATTGAATTCTAAATTTACCCACGAAATTAAGGACACACTTCAACCTACTCAACATCTTGGCGATATCCTCCTTAGCTGATTGATCAATATACACAAATAATCAATATTTGATCCAACTTAAAAATAATTGGGATTTGCATTAATGCAGATTTTGACAATATTGAGATGTTGTTTCTTTCTTGGTGTTAATGTGATCAGCTTTTTATGTCCCGGTCTAGATTCTGTGGACTCTCCTCTCCCAAGAGAAGTACGAATGACTTTCTTTGTATTTTGAAGTGTGGCTGCCCTACACCATCAAGTGGACGCAATTTATGCCAGCGGGAGAGGGGATGTTTCAAATGAATGTGCGTTGATCAGGTTCATTTGCATGCCTACATTACTTTTGAAGACTATACGATCTTTAAAAATCTTGCCACTAGCCTGCGTAATTTAACCCAACGGACCCCTAACGGAATCAATGAATCACCTGAAATGTGTTTTGAATTTCTTTATATCCTGATTGGCAAATCGACAATGGCTTTCTTAACAGGCCAATCATGGCGCGTACTCATATCTTGGTACACAGGTGAGGGCCCAGAACAAGGATTTCGGCTCTGTTTCGCAGACGGACTTAACCTGAGTTTAGTTTCGTCTGTAGCGCAGGCTATCTTACCAAAGGAAAAATGAAATGCTAACAGACCGTCCATAATGGAACGTTCTTACCCCCGGGCGGGGATGGGGTATTAGAGACTTAATAGAAAATATTGCCAGGAAAGGGGGAGAAATGCAGTTATAATATCTCAATATTGCTCCTCATGGCATGCCGGCGTCCAGTATCAAAGGCAAAAATTAACGCCCCTAATATCAATGTTTCTCTAGTCAGAGTCGCGGAATGAGAAACCAACACTGAGATATTTTGATGGACAATTTAGGGTCAAGCCTTTTCATTCTAATGCTCTAGTTCTGGTTCAGACTTAGCTAAGGTGCATACAGAAAAGCGCATCCTTGATTAAAAGATGTAACTTATCTTATAATTTTCAAAGATTTATATGCAGTAAATAAACGGCGTTCGTAGTTGAGGTTAACTGTTGATATCCCCTTTTTTTTCTGCAATATTGCAATAGGATCTAGCATTGAAAATAAATGGAATAGAATTAAATGACGGGTTATTTAACATGGGGAAAAAACTATGATGCCACACGTTGACTAGAGTAAAAACAAATTCAACTTATAACTAATTATAGTGTGGTCCACATAATAGGGAGTTTAAGCAAAGGCGTGTTTGAGAGACGCACATCAGCCGGAGGTGAGGACTTTTTAATATGACTTTTAATATGACTCGACGCTGTAAAATTTGTATTGCTTAGTTTCTTTACACTTGAAGAGACGATTTAACTGAAAACTTGGGCAGAAATGTAAAAAGTTCACTTCCGGTAGAGGAGCGTTGCTCAAAAACGCCTAGCTTTGCTTAAGTTTCCTATTTTTAAATGACAACGCGACCTATTGAAGTCATCCCCTAGTTAGGCATAAAATTTGTGAACTTGTTGACAACTTTGTGTGGGTGGATAATCTCATATACCTTAATCTACGCCTAACAAAGTAAAGTCGTTCATTTTTGATGTTTGGACCCCGCCACACTGGGTCAGGTCTTTTTTTTTTTTAACCCCTTTTATAGACTTAAGATGAGCATCTATCCCAGCATTATCGAGGAGAGATGGTTGGTTAGGTTTCAGCGTTTGCTGGGTCACGTTAACAGCAGTTCAGGCATTGTTTATTGTGAAACCATATCAACAACAACAACTGATCAAGGACACTTCTTATTGTACAATTTCCGGCATACTTATCGGCCTTAGGTATGTACGTATAGGCTTCAAGTGCTGGTTTTCAAAAAATTAAATTTAGCAAGTTATGCACAAATAGATCTTAAATTTGGAAGGTGGTTTGGAAATGTTTCTATATTTAAAAAATATCAGGGTTGATGTTCACAATATGTTTTGAGTGCTTTCCTGTGAACGTAAGTCGCCGACTAATTTTTACAATTATATCAACATTATGGAGGCCTGAGTGCACCAAAGATATAAAAGTACGATCCTGTGCTCCATCACCAGAAGTCAGGATAAGGCTTAACGATGAAGACTTTAATCCTGTTAGCCCTGGTTGGCTTTGCACTGGCCTTCAGCTTGGCTCTGCCATTCAACGAAAATGCAGAAAAATCAAGCAACCATGAATTGAATGAAATTGCCAATGAATTTCAGGAGGAACAACGTGAAGGGTAAGATTAAAAAAAATTATCGCGAGAACTAAATTAATAGGTTATTATAACACATGAATAAGTCGGTATCATAGAGCCCGGAAGTCACAAATCACTTTGACAGTTGTTTGAGGGAATTGATCTTTAACACTCATAAGTTATCTTTTGAAATTACTTTCTTTAAAGGCCGGGTTTGCATTATACATATTGATCACATACCTCATTTAAATAAGTCAGGACATTTTAAATTCCCAATTATTCACAATCAAATTTGTACTTTGCGGTAACAGACAGTCGTATACTTGAATGTAGGCATAAATACTGAAATATATGAATACAAAAATAGTTTTAGTAATGGAAACATTTTGATTCTAGTGATGAAGAATTAACAGACATTGCAGTTGAAGACGACGATGAAGATTTAGAAGATGAAGATGAAAACCCGCATGAAGATATAAACGATGAAGACGGAGATATTGAAGAGGACGAAGACTTGGACGAAGACACAGACGATGAAAACGACGATGGTGAAGACGATGGAGATGAACAAGAGGAAGACGAAAATGCTGTTGATGAAGTGCAAGGAGAAGATAGTGATGGCGAAGTTGCGGAGAATGAAGACGAAGATGAAAACTCTTTACTCAGTCAAGCAAACGATTTTTCAGATCCCGCCCCTATTCGGTTCCGACGAGTTGCTCGGCGAGTAGTTCGTCGTTTCCGACGACCCGTCCGCCGAGTGATTCGAAGAGGAACGCGTCGTTTTCCACGTAGACGTGGTGGTCGTCGGGGAGGTAGAGGCCGTCGACGTGGTGGTCTTCGAGGACGTAGAGGTGGTCGACGTGGTCGGCGAGGACAAAGAGGACGTAGAGGACGAAGAGGACGTAGAGGGCGAAGACGTGGAAGACGTGGAGGTCGTCGCGGTTAATGGCAAATAAATGTTGAAACATGGTAAGTACACCTACATGTTCGTTGAGAATGAAATTTAAGCTCAGCTATCTTGTAACTGGTCCCACGGCATTCACCGATGATGCTGAACAAGTCCTGCCTTCGTTTTTACTAACTATCCATATGGCTGTCAAATAAATATACAAGCTTTATAATTTGTAGTGGTAACTTGTAGTGGCTGAAGAATGCCCCCCCCCCCCGAGAGAAGGTCTGGATCGGCCACTGTTAAACCGTTTCTAATTTGCATTTGAAATAGACAATTAAGCGAAGCTCACTGGTAGTATAAATTTGAAACTCCTCTGGGCGCGGTACGGTGATATATGATTTATAAATATTAAATAAAGTTTCGATCATTTTCGATCTACGAGTGGTGAAATTTAAGTTGTAAAGGTTTTCATAATGTATGGAAAAACTGGACGTGCACCGATGTTTGATTTTCGGTTGTTTGCTGCTGTTATTTTCTGACGTTTAACAATTACTTTCATGAGGTTGAGTGATGTCAATTAAACGGATAAAACTCTCTGAGTTCTTCTTAATTCAGGAAAGTGGAAATCGGTAAATAGTTATATTATTGAAAACCTTAACGTGCTCAGCGACTTTTTGTAGCCGAATTTATTAAAAATGAATGTTGAAAAACAATGTACACTAATAAAAACAATGAAAAATAATGTACACTAATAAATTGTATACAATTGCTTTCTTTTTTTTTTTTACCGATCACTAACGCCAGTTAACTCATTCATCTATTTTTCTTTCCTTTTTTTAGATTTCCCCCAAATGCTCGATTGATGGAGATTGACAGGAAGAAGTAAAATTTGTGGAAAACAACAAAGCGAAGACTAAAACAGTCTAATCTTTGTAGCTCTCAATAGTATCTTCTTTAGGTAATCTACTGTAAAATTCACTGCTTAAAGTTTCTGGAATGAAATAAAAGATTTTAGTACATTCAGGAAGTTTTTTTGTTTTTCTGACAACAAACTTAAAAACCTTGCACCAAACGTACATGACAGAATCTCGTGTATGTACCGCTGTACATGTACATGTATTCCTTCATTCACTGTGAAAGCTGAGACAGAGTTGGATCTAAATTGTTTCGTCTTTAAATAGTCGCCTCGGTTCAGCTGCTTTCTTTGTAAACACTCTCCAAAAACGCGTTAATATTCAGTAGGCATACTGTCCAATAATCACGTGTAAGGACCTGTATATCAAGTAATAAATCAACAAGCTGAAAAGTCAGGGGAGGGCTTTGAATTCAATCTCAATAGTAATAATTTTCCTTAGAGATTATTTAAAAAATGCCGAGCAACAGTGGCAAGTACAATAACGAAAGACGGATTTTCTATTTCCAGGACGCTACTTTGCGAGGTCCAAGAGGAAGTCTTAACAGGAATATTGACATTTTTGGTGGGGGGGGGGGCTGGCACCCGAGCGCGAAGCGCGCTCTTGGACGGAGCCACTTACCCGTAAATACTAAAAGTAAATAAATAAATAAACTATCCTTGAAGATAATTTCTTCCCAAGTCAAGTCAAGTCAATTTTTATTTAGACTCACACAGAATAATTGTGATTAATAAAAATTAGTGCTTTAAAATCTATAAATCGGGAGATTGCATATTTGTGAATGGAAAGATGATTTCAATTGTAGGTTCATTGTGCAGAGTTTGGGACACGTAAATAGTTCGGGGAACTAACCGAGTAGGTGACCCAAACAAGAATATGAGTAGAAGGAATATAGATACAAAATAGTTCTTTTACATAAAAAGTATTACTTCATTAATTAAATAGTAGTTAAGATAATATAACGGTAAAACACAAACAAACAGAAGCAATTAACATCTGGTGTTTTTGGTTTGATTGTTTGTATAATTCAACTGCAGTAAAAACCCGCGTGTAAGAACTTAAACTTCTAAGAACCTGTTAGGCTAGGATTGTCCATTTAGACCCCTTTTCGATAAACAGGTTCTTATTTTGAGAAATGCAGTATCATGTTTTGCCAAGCAACAACACAGCACCATGTTTTGAGGTTGGTTTTGTTCGGTTTTAATAGCATAACTTTAACAATAACAATAACATTTATTATTTGTATTGCGCCTTTTCTATCAAATATTCAAAAGCGCATCACAATAGTAATTGATAACTAAATTTTACAGATCTTTTTATCAAAATCATAAAAAGATATTAACACCAAATGAGTAAAAGATAATTACAAATAAAGATGTAGATATACTAAGATAACTGAAAATGGCTTTAACATGCTTGAATTAAAGGGATTTTTATATCATGTTATGCATGAAAAACCAAAAATAAGCCCAGAATAGGCCACAACCAACAATAACAAACACCTTATTTATTTTTAAGAACCTCAGTAGCCTAATTTTCCAGTTAGCACTATTTTTATAAATCCTTCTTAGCCTAGCTTAGAAAAACTTAGCTCCTTATAGCAAGGTTTTTACCGTATATTTCTGAAAAATCCCCATGCTGCTTTTCAAAGTCCATGTCAGCCCACACTTCCGTATTTTTAACTTGTAATATCAAGGCATTTTCAGGAGCCAAATTATTTTTAGCGTCATAAAGTATGGCGTATACGTACCTTGAAATTGATTCTCTAATAAATTAGGAATAGTATTATGCATGGTCTTTGAGTGAGTCTTAACTTTTCTTGTTTGCTAATTGAACGAGAAAGAATATTGCAGAACCATTTTTATTTATCATTTACAATATTTTCCCTTTGAATCAAATCTCAAGGTCGCTGTAGCAGTCGATAGCAGTCGATAGCAGTCTATAGCAGTCGAGTCATTCCACTGTGATTCTCGTCATAACTCAAGCTTGCAAGTACAATGTTGATTTGTAGAGAAAGTACATTTGCCGCCTTTTCAGTGATTTGAATAAGAGGCAATCCGCAAATAACTTTAACTCTTCAATTTGAGATGTCTCAAAAAGAGACCACTTTCTTGGAGACAAAAGTTTGCAAAGAACTTTAGATTCAACAATAAATTTATCCAAGACACGCAAACGAATTACGTTTAGTTGTTTCAATTTTATTTCGCTTGATTTCATTGCATGGGGGAGCAAGGGATGGCCCAATGTTGAGCGCACTCGCCTTCCACCAGGGTGGCCCGGGTTCAAATCTAGGCGTCAACGCCATAATTATGTGGGTTGAGTTTGTTGTTGCTTCTCTCCTTTGCTTCAAGAAGCTTTACTCCGGGTACTCCTATCCTCAAGAGCCAGCATTTATAAATCCCAATTCCACCAGGAATGGTAAAAAAAAAGAACCACTATGTGGATGCGCTACCTTAAAATCACTATTCATTCATTTATTTATTTACTAATATCAGTGGCATAGCTTATTTATTTTTGGTCTATTTATATTTCTGTAAGGAATGGCTTTTTTTTTTGGTCTATTTATATTTTTGTTATTGCATTGAATGGTTATTATTATTATTTTTGCGGAATTATTATAATAATTTTTATAATTGTTTCAGCCTCTTGAACTTCTGGAAATATGGTCCTGTTTACACAATATCATTTAGTGCAGTTTGAGTTATTGCATTGTAGACGATATTGTTATTATTGTTATTATTATTATTATTATTATTATTATTATTATGGTGTTGTTGTAGTGTTGTTCACGTGTGTCTCCAATGTCCTCTTCTATTCCTAAGAAGAATTCAAATACCTCTCTCTACATCCTTTAAAAAAATTGTCTTCCCACGTCAAGACGTCACACGGATGATTCAAATCGATTGACGTCGTAAAATGTGGGTTATTCGAGTTACTTAGCCAAACGTGACCGTTCTTTTTTTTTTTCTTTTTTTACAGAAATGTTAGCAATCTTTCCACTCAGGTTAAGTTAGTAGCATACTGTATATCTGGTTTTCAATGTCTTAAGACATGGTCGTAAGTTTTGCTTACAAATCGATTCAATTATTCTTTGTTTGCATGACCGAATAATTTCCTCACAGAACCGGAAAGGGGCAATCAATTAACATCCTAATAGGCCCTTCCCTTTTACCTGGATAATATACATGTGCGTCATGAAATTTCTTTTAGATAATTAATTATATAACATATTTATCGACGCTCCATTAGGTAACTATCTTCAGTTAATTTCGTTCTTGCATGGTAGGAGTACACATAGAACGGAAATTAAATAAGTCATGAATTCCAAATTCCTTTTTCATTTTATAGATGTACACCTTTTTGACCGAAGTTATTCTTTCAATTTATAAAAAAAATGTGGTCTGGATGAATATATTCGTGTCTCGTCACTGTGATATTTCAGAAAGCTTCATTACGAAGGGGAGGATATACTTCGAATCTCTTAGGTTAGTTTCAAATTAGACTTTTCATATAGTCACCTATCTTTTGTTCGGAAGATAGTCTCGATGTTACCCGACGGCCATCTTAGTTTCAAAGGAACAGAGTCCAGCTTGTAAAGCCCGACGCCTACCACCCCCTCGGCTCGATCCCTTTGAAATAAAAATAGCCTCCGGTAACGATTGTTGATCGATCACGGTGATTTTGCGGGAAAATAAGGGAATGTGAACAGTCTAATTTCTAAGACAAATCAAACTTTGTCTAATCTAAATATATAATTATAAGGGTTTTCCCTTTGGTGGTTTTGACAATACTAATTGGGTCATTGTACATTATTTTTATTTCATAAATACTGAGTGAATCTGTTTGAGTCAACGTGAGTGAATACGTGCTTCATTGTTTGTATCAGAAATTGAACGAGCGAGCGCAGCGAGCAAGTGAGATTTCTGATACATCACCAACTCGTGAGAAAATCCCGTACGCGCGGCCTGCCCATGAAGTAATCTCTATATATTTTATTGGCTTATACCCAACAGGATGCATTTTTCGCATATTTATAGATATTTTTAACTACTCTCGTTTCCCCAGGTGAAGTTTAAATTACTGAATTTTCCTTTTAATTGTAGTTTTTCCTCTCAAACCAAACTGTCAAAGTTTGAATGGGTTTGAATTGCCGGATAAGCTCATGTGGTTCAGAATAAGGTATCATCACCTTAATAAGTCTAACCTGGCATTGATAAGCAGGGATACAAACAGTAAAACTCATGCCATGATGACAAGGCCATGATGACAAGGAATTGAAATTCGCCTGTAAAGTGCTGTTGATTCCGGCTACCTCAATATTGAAACCACTTTATCTTTGTTTGAGGAAAAGTTCTTGACATGAAGCGATAAAATAGTATATGGTGTCGTGTTTTTGTTTGTCTTTATAATTTAACAATCTGAAAAATGTAGTCACTTAGATCCATTTTCAAGGCCCATGTCAGGAACCCATCACCCGGTTAAAAGTTTTCGATCAATACTGCTGACCCGGGTTAAAGTCGTTTTTACGGGTTAGTTAGGTGTAATTTTCATCATAGTCATGACTATCTAAGTACTTTTTTCGTGGAAATGGAATTTCTGCTGATCTTAGTGTCAGTACAAAAGTATAATACTAGGCCTGTGAAATAATTTTTAGTTTTGGAGTTAGTCTTGGGCTATTAATAAATATTCTTTCTCTTAAAAACAAGCAACGATATTGCAAAATCATCACGATAATGATATCAGCTGCCATATTTTTTTTCACTCTGCAGCTGTAATTCTTTAGCAGTCCCCAATATGAGAGTTATTCTCATTATATCTGACAAAAAGATTGTGTAAAGTACAAATTTAATTGTCCTGGAAAATAAAGATAATTTTAGGCCAAGGATTCGCACGCTACTTCCTGAGCTACCAAGGAGAGAATAGAGCCCTCTTCGCTCGTGCTGTACCAATAAAATTGACCTTATGGTATAATGTACCTTTTCTTGGATAGATTACAT